TAAATAATAAAGAATATTACAAGCTAAAAACAATAACTTATTATAATATTTAAAAGAATTAAAAATAACTCATAGAGAAATGCAGAACTAAAACACACTTAAAGCAACAAATGCAACAGTGGAGCTTCTGTAACGAGGGTGGTGTTTTGTGATACCTGTAAACATTCCTAGTTAACAATCTGGCTAAAGCATTTTGGACCTGCTAAAGTTTCCAAACACTTTCCAAAGGCAGTTCTGCATGTAGTGGTTTACAGTAATTCAACTGGGGTATGGCACTGTGGCCAAATCCGTCATCTACAAGAACAGATGCAGCTGGCACACTAGTTTAATGTAAATACACTCTTGGCTACTGCTGAAACCTGGACATTCAGACTTGGGGGACAAATCTAAGAGCACCCACAAGCTGCACACCTGTGTTTCAGGAGTGTAAACCTATCCAACACAGGTTGGATCCCTATTCCCTGATGTGCCTTTCAGTTGACTAGGAGCTGAATGGCTTGGGATGGGGTGAATAAACTGAATGCAGACAAGATGGGGTATCTTGTCTGGGTTCAGTTTATTCACCCCATCCCAAGCCATTACTGACACTAGACACTTATCTAGAACCAAAACAGCTTCCTCAGATTTAAATGGAAAGAAGAGAGAGAGTAGGGTGTCATCTGCATAGTGGTGACACTGAACTCCAAAACTCTGGGCAGCCTCTCCCAGCAGTTTCATATAAATGTTAAATAGTATGGGGGACAAAACACAACTCTGAGAACATCACAGGCCAATAGACAGGGCATAGAATAGGAGTCCCTCAGCATCAACTTCTGAGTTCTGCCTTTCAGGAAAGAACAGAGCTACCACAAAACATGAGAATGATTATCAGATTTGCAGATGAAACAAAATTGGGTGGAATAGCTAATAGCCTGGAAGACAGAGAAAAAAATTCAAAAAGCTTTTGATAGGCTTGAGCATTGGGCTGAAAACAACAGAATGAAATTTAACAGAGATCAGTGCATAGTGCTACACCTAGAGAGGGAAATCACATAGTTACAAGATGTGGAATACCTGGCTCAGTAATACTACAAATGAAAGGGATCTTGGAATTGTTGTAGATCGCAAGCTCGAATAGGACCCAAGAGTGCAATGTGACCACAAAAAGTCCAGTACATTTTAGGATGCATTGACAGAAGCTTAGTTTCCAAATCTAATGAAGTACTTGTTCTAATTATCTGCTGTCAAGTCACCTCCAACTATGTTGATCCTATTAGTGAGCACTGTCCAAAATATCCTGTTCTCAGTTATTGCAGACTCAAGCCTGGGATCTCTTTAGGTAGTCAGTCCATCTCACATCTGGTGTTCCTCTTTTTCCTGCTGCCTTCCATCTTTCCCATAATCATTGTCTTTTCCAGAGAATCCTGTTTTCTCATGATGTACCCAAAGTAGGACAGCCTCAGTTTCAACATTTTTGCCCCCATAGATCAGGAATGGTTTGATCTAGGACCCACTTGTTTGTCTTTCTGGCCATCCAGGGTATCTGCAAAGCTATCTTCCAGCACCACATTTCAAATGAATCCATTTCCCCCTTTTCAGCTTTTGAGAAGCAATCGTTGCTCTTTAATTGGCACTGGTTAGGTCTCATAATGAATATTGTGTCTAATTCTGGATGCTATACTTTAAGAAGGATGCCGACAAATTGCAACAAGTTCAGAGAAGGGCAACAAGGATGATCAGGGGACTGGAAACCAAGCCCTATGAGGAAAGACTGAAATAACAGGCCATGTTTAGCTTTGTGAAAAGAAACCTAGGGGGAGATTGGATAGCACTCTTCAGATACTTGAAAGATTGTCATACAGAGAAGGGGCAGGATCTGTTCTCTGTCATCCTAGAGTACAGGACACATAATAATAGGCTCAGGTTACAGGAAGCCACATTTTGGTTGAATGTCAGTGAAACATTTCTAACTGTTAACACAATACAAAAATGGAACCAATTACTTTGAGTACTCCAACACTGGAAGTATTCAAGAGAAAATTGGACAACCATTTGTCAGACCTGCTTCAACTTGGATTCCTGTATTGAGCAGAGGGTTGGACTCAATTGCCTTGGAGGCCCCTTCCATGATTCTATGATTCTTTCATTCTGTGCTTAAGTGTGTTTGGATTTTCTCAGCAGTCCTTAAAATTTTTGGTTTTAATTAAAGCATTTTTAAAATATATATAAAATTTAAAAAAAAACTTGCTGGATTGTAGTAGATAAACTTTGCTGAATTTTTCACTGGAAACAGTTTTGCATAACTCCCCCCCCCTTCTGCTCTGGTAGAGTTGTTTCCTTTGTACTGAAAATACTGACACCCATGCTGTGTTGTAATAGTTAGTTGCCATCAATAATGTTTCCCCCTACATCAGTGCTTAGTTTTTATGCACATAACTGCCCTCTTTATGTCACTTAGTGTGTAGGCTTTGTGCTATAAATATGACATGGCCTGTTGAACTGAAGATGGAAACATAGCATATGACTATGAAGTAACTACTGTAATTGGTGGAATTACCAATTTAATTATTTTAATAGCTTCTCTGTAAGTAGTTTGGATACCTTGACTGATCTGAGCTCTTATCCAGGGAGAGGGATTAGTTTACTGTAGTTGTAATTTTTGGCACTAACTTGGATGCCTTACCTTTATGATAATGTTGTCTATATTGGCTTTTTGTACTTGATTATGAATTTAGTCTGTGATTATATTAAGTAAACTCTCCTGTTTCTACCACAGAGGAATAGTATGGCTTCTAATATATATAATTAAGTTACCATTCATTTATTGTTTTCTGATTTTAAAATTACTATATTGTTCACTACCTGAACCCTTGCTTTTACATTTAAGCTAAAGGAAATAATATTGCTCATTGTGAATTCCACATGTTTGATACTCCATTTATGTAAATAATTTTTCAAAGTTAGATAGGCTTCAATTCTGTTTCTTAGTGGGATTTATTTCTGACAAACAAACCTACAAGATTGTTCTGGTTGCTGAGACTGAAAAAAGTTAATCAAAATAATATTTTACCTTTCTTTGTGAGGCAAGTGAATGAAAACCATGCTTAATCTCTTTGCATTGTTAATTTTCTGTTTTCACTTGAAGCCCTATATCCTTTTCTGTCTTTTGATAGTTACGGCCTCTGAGGAGGAAGAGATCGTTACTGCAGATTTGGGATCACCACCACTCCAAAAGAACAATTCTCTGGCTGGGTCATTAGACCAAATTCCAAATAGGATAGGGGGCTCACTTTCTCCAGAACCTTCCAGCAATAGGACAGACTCCCAGGATGCCAAAAGTGAGTCTGTCTGCTGTTGAGATTGCTATTGAGCAACATGTGTATCTGTGATTGTGAAAGTCCTAGATAAACCTCCTTAGCTGGTTTACAGTGCAGATCTGAGTACTTTTCTTGTGACCTCTTCAAGAAAGTAAAAGTGGTATCTTTGCTTTTTGTTTTCCTCTGCCTATTAGCCTTTTCCCCTCCTGGAAGCTTTTATAACTAATAGAAAACATTTTTCACTTTAAAAATATTATTGAATTTTGTGCAGAATTCTTGCTTCTCTAAATCCTGAAGATCTAATGCAAGGGTGGGTCAAGGGGTGTATCCTCTGCTGCCACTGAATGTTGCCAGTAGGTCAAGGGTAAAAACACATTTTCAGTATCTTTCTAATTTAGACCAAGATGCATGGAAAGTCTTGATTTAATGGAACATTTGAGCTTCTTTTTGAAGGCAGGTTTTTCTTTTGCTGCTGCCGCCGCTGCCACAAAGTTAAGCAGCAGTGAAGGATAGCTGAAAACTGCAAAACTGGGTGAGAGCAGCTGTATGTGAGACATATGGATCTCTTCTTGTGTGACATCCTTTTTTTCCCCCCAATGTATTTTGAGTTCTGCATGGCAGTAAAACTGGTGAAAGACAGCTATCAAATAAACACATAACTAGTTAATTAACTTTGTGTAAATATTTGCAGCAATAATGTGCTCCATTTTTATCAACAGGTATTTTCTCATTGCTTATTATATGGTCCAGCTGAATTGTCTTGTAGTGTATCCTTGTTTTAAAGGAGATATGGAATAATATTTATTTTAGAACTCCTACATTTCTGAATTTTGGTCCTGTTTTTTCCTGAAAGCAAGGTGGAATTGATTTCAATCAAATTGATTCAAATCACAAGTTAAATAACAATTTAAAATGTAAAAATTAGATTTTTTGACATTTTAAATTTTAAAATTTGTTTTTTTAAATTTTAACCATGATTTAAATCAAATTCACCCTGTCTTCTGGATATTGCACTTTAAGAAGGATGACAACAAACTGGAACAACTTCAGAGGAGGGCAACAAGGATGATCAAGGGACTGGAAACCAAGCCTTATGAGGAAAGGCTGAAAGAGATGAGCATATTTAGCTTTCAGAAAAGAAGATTGAGGGGAAACATGATAGCACTTTTTGAATTCATGAAAGGTAGTCATACAGAAGAAGGGCAAGAACATCCCAAAGTAGAGGACATGTAATAATGGGCTCAAGTTACAGGAAGCCAAAATTCAATAGGTTGAATATCAGAAAAAGCTTCCTAACTATTAGAGCATTATGGTAACGGAAACAATTACTTCAGGAGGTGGAGAGTGCTTCAACACTGGAGGCATTGAAGAGAAAATTGGACAACCATCTGTCTGCTATATTTTAATCTGGATTCCTTCATTGAGCAGGGGTTGGACTCTGTGGCTTTGTAGACCCCTTCCAATTCAATTATTCTATGATTTTAAAGGGGGGGGGGTACCACTGATTTTTATCCACTGCCTGAAAGTAAGGAAAGGTTAAATACTGTCTGATATCAGCCTTCATCACAAGTCATAGTGGTGATATTACTTATTTATGTAAAGCATCTTTCCCCTGATTGTTCAGCTAAAAAGACTACCAAGACCATTCTGTGAAGATCAGTAAGAACAAGACAGACTTGTACACAAATCTAGAACTCTGATAGACACAAAATAGAAGGAAAAGGGATCACAGGAAAGGTGGAAAGCAAGTGAAAGTGGGTACCAATTCTTCAAAGTTAAACTGTAGTTGATGGAATGGCCAACAAATGGAAATAAATTTGTGGAGAGGAAAAACTTGCTTCCCTTCTCTTCCTTTACTACAGCCTAGTGGAAGAGACCTAGTACTACTTCCTTGTGGTTGGATTGAAGTAATAGCTGGCCTTATTTGAAATAGACTTGAAAATGAGAATCACAGCGTTGTCTTTAGAAGGAATGGCATTTTTAAATGCATTTGTATAATTTGATTTTAATAGATTAAGTAGCCTTAGGTACCTAATAATTTTATGTGTGAGTTTGTTTCAGATAGGTGATTTCATGGTAAACTTGCTAGTTTGTTTGGAGAGGCAGGGTTTCTTAAGGAAAAGTGACCACCAACTACCTTAAAAATACTTAGTGAATTCATCTATTCCTAAGTAGACTGCAAGTTTCAATGTGTAGTCAGTCTACAACAGCCTTGGTGATCATACATGATTGATTTATGGAGAGGGGCCCAACTTAAGATAACTTGGTGTGCACTTCTCATCTACTGTTAAAGCCAGTTTGAGGGGTGAACTTAACATTGTCTCAATAAGTCACTCTCCTCTTTCCAGCACCAAACCTCACGACATGTGAGGTCTGTGGCGCCTGCTTCGAGACGCGCAAGGGCCTGTCCAGCCATGCCCGTTCTCACTTACGTCAGCTTGGTGTGGCTGAGTCTGAGAGCAGTGGAGCCCCCATCGACTTACTGTACGAACTGATGAAACAGAAGGGCAAAGTGGACAGCGATCCCATCTCTCCAAGTCTTAGCAAAAAATCTGCTTCTCCCAAAGAAGGGACTGCAGGGTCCTCACAGCCAACACTGCTGCCTCTCAACAAAGCTACAGAACGGTCACAAGAGCCATCTATAAACAAAGCAATCAAATCCCCACCAGGTTTCACCCCCAAGAATGTTGTCCAGCCAGGATCTCCCATACTCAAGAAAGTGACACCTGCTCTGCCTGGTTCTCCTCTGCCAAAGAACCCTGAAGATAAAAGCCCCAAGCTACCGCTCAGCCCTCTGCAAAGTTCTCCTAAAGCACAGTGGTCACAGCCGGAGGAAGAAGGCCCCTTAAATCTAAGTGAGTCTATTTGATGCTGATGCTGCTTGCAAGCAAGAGCTGGCTTGCACTTTGATGCTTTAGGAAGCTCTTGGGTTTTGCAATATCTTTTTGTGTGAATCAGAGCAGAATTGCACACCCACAAAACATATTTATATCCTTTGGCTCTGCACAGTCCACTCCATTCACAAACATTGCATCTTGCATTCACCCCAGTAAAGGAGGGGCTTAAGAGACAAGTTGGATATGTTTCATCTCCTGGGATTCTTAGTGTGGTTCTTGTTGCTGGTGATAGGGAAAGTTTCCTTTTTCTGAGCCACGTAAGCAGGATTTGTATATTTTTAGGAATGTCTAGAAACCCATCTCACAGACCTCTCTTCTCAAAAGAGGCAGCTTGCTCTAGCTGAACAGGTTTCTTCTCCAATCTGTCTCGGGGAGGATTGGGTGTATCTCTCCTTGGAAATTCCACAAAATCTCTCCAAGTGTCCTGATATGTGCCTGGAGACCGTATTGTCACTGTTGGAAAGTAAGAATGTTGAAGGAACAACATCCATAAACACCACATGATTCCTCTCAAGGTCTTAAGCAGAGCTGCTCTTTATCAGAAGAAAAAGCTAAGGCATCCTTTGCTTTCTTGGTGGTAGCAAGTCATTTAAAAGCAAATTTCTATTTTAGTATTCTAGAACTGAATGTCTAGAACTGCTGATACCTTAAAGTTCTCAACCTGAGGCAACTTCTACTGCTTCAGAGTCATTGCTTTTTCTCCATTGCAAACATGCATATTATTATACCTGTACCTTCCTTGCTGGGACATACAGTGAGATTGTGGACTTCCACAGTGATGAAGCTTTAAGCTAATATTATGGATGCTTCATTTGTACAGTACTCTGGTATTCAGAGTTAAGTCTGTTCAGCAATGCTGCTCAGTGGTGTTCTTTGAAAACTGACAGAAATGGTGAAAGCCATCTAGTATTTCCGGTTCAGTCTTGCACATTATTCTCTTGCATGAGCAGGAAATCGTGTGAAATCAACACCTTTCTCATAATTCAGTCCTTTTATGTTACTCTATATTTGTTGACGCCAGAGCAGTAAGTTCTCACTTGGTGTTGGCTAGGCAGAGGTAAGTAGAACCATAAAGAGACAAATGTTCTGGTGAGCTTGGCAGAGGATCCTAAGGGTGCTCCTGTTTTATGGAGAGAAATTAACAGTACCTGGAGCTTTTATCGTGGTTGTTCTCATAATCTTGGTAGCACCAAATTCTCGTTGTATAGAATGTGTTAGATGACAACCTGACTCATCTTCCCCATGACTGAATCTCATGCTTCTTTCATCTGATTGCCTTTGGTTCAAAAGCTCAATTTTCATGTTCTTTTGGCTACTGGTTGAAATATATCTTTAGGGGTAAGATAATTCTTGCTGTGAGAAAAGATTTTAATTTAAACAGAGTTCTGGAGTCTTTAGATGTAATGCAGTTCTGCCCCAACTATATAGTTGAAAACAAGTTGCTGATAAAGTTGATAACATTTTTACTATTGCTTCCCATTCCCATTTTGAGTTATAACCAATCTCCAGATGTACATCTTTATCCTACTACTGATATAAAGTATTTGCCCAGTCCTGCTTAGTCATAGTCTAGGAATCACAGTAATCCGACTTTGCAATTTGCTAGTTGGCTTTGTCTTGGCTAACAAGATCTTAATCTGTGTTTCATCTAACCAGTTGTATATCTAAGTGTTGGTTTGTGACCAATAATTTGCTATTTTCTAGGTAGCTTATGTGGTTTCTCTAAACATACATAGGTTTCAATTTGCATGTGACAGAAATGGGCATAAATCTATGAGAACTAAATTAAGTTCTTGAAATAGTTTTGCATTCATGGAGTTGCAAAAGTTGTGAGTTCTGATGTAAACCTATTATTTGTTAGGGGTCATATTACATATTGTTGGACTATATAAGGTAAAGGAGCTACTAAAAGAGCCACCGCAAAGTACTAATACTTTGGATTAGTACTTTTGGATTGGTACTAATCCAAAGCTTAGTACCAATTGGATATACTTTTGAAAATTTAGAAAATATGGGAAATGAATACTTTTTTGAAGGTGTTCTATTTAGTTTTCTTGCACTGTTAGAGATAACATGTAAATGATATGTCAGTCATTCTGTGAAAAGAGAAATGCTTTGGACCTTGTAAATTGAAAACCTGTTAAATTTTCTTTTTAATATACTCTGTTCACTTTGCCATTTGCTTCAGTGATGTGAGCCCAGTTGACAGTTGGGAGCTTTGCAAAATCTAGGTTTATCATCTTGTGATACAGCAGTAAAAATTTGATGTTGTCATTTTCAAAGTTACAAATGTCTTGAATGTGTGGTGGTTTAAATTGAAATGGAAATGTTTGAGAATCCTGTTTTCAGGATTGAGAAGGCTTGCTTATTTGGAAACCTGACCTAGCTAAGCGAAAAGAAGGCTGATCAAATACAACTCTACTGCAAGAATTTCTGCTTTAACCATTAAGCTGGTAGCAGAGGTACTGGTGCATAACACACATTTCAGTTGGGGCTGCTTGTAAAATCCTGTCATGCCATTTGTGGAGAAACAAATTGGACCTTGAGAGCAAGGTCTATTTCAGTTTGTAACAGGTACTTGAGACACATTTCTTGTGTGATCGTATCTATTGTGATCAATGTGTTTTTTTCCCCGCAGCTATAGATAGTGATTCGGGCAGAGAAATTGACTGCCAGTTATGTGGTGCCTGGTTTGAAACCAGAAAGGGGCTGTCGAGTCACGCTAGAGCCCACCTGAGACACCTGGGAGTGAGCGATCCAGATGCTAAAGGATCTCCTATTGATGTTTTAAATGAGCTCATCAAAAATGAAGACTTCAAAGGCCGTCTTTCCTCTCTCCTTCCTAGTGAGGGAGAATCGTTAGGGGAAATTGGGAGCTCTAATGGACCCAGCCCAAAGAGCACAACTACAACAGCGCCTGCCACAGGCATGAAACAAGCACATTCACCAAGGCCTTTGGGCAAACAGCCATCTGTACTCTCACCTCACTCCCCTCCACCATCTAAGAAACTGAAGCCACATGGCCACAAGCTGTCAGCTATGGCCAATCTGCAGAGGAAACAGGGTCTTTCTTCCAGTGCGTACTGGGCATCAGACGTTGAGATGGCTCCACTCAATCTTTGTAGGTTCTATCAGCACTGGCTCATGTGCTCTCCTCCCTCCCTGCTTCCCTTCCTTCCTAGTCTTGTTTATGTGACATGGAGCTGTGCACCAAGAAATCTAGGCCCTTCGTCATTTTCTGCAGTGTGTCTGATAAACAGAGAAGGGGTGGGGCAGCTTGCTCTTTGGCCCACATACTCTCCATTCCTGTTTTCTTGCAAAGCCTCTTTACAGTGCAGCTTTCCCACTTGGCTTCTGCATATAGTGAAGTTACCTCTTCCCTGACAAAATGCTCAGGATGAACATATTTCTCCTTGGCATAGAGTGTCTTAGCAGTCACAGAGCAAGAAAGAAGATTGCTTCCTTTTTTGCTGTTTCAGCAGGGCATTCAACTAATGTCACAGCCTGTTCCATGGAAGAAGGAGACAGTGTCCTCAAAGTGATGAGATTTCAGCTATTTTCCTCCCTCTGGGCACAGAGAGTAGAGTGGATCAGTCAGAGGGTTACTGATTTTGATCTTGGTGGTTTAAACCTCTTTGATAACCACAAGCACTCCATATTGAATGGCGTGTTTCACCTCTTTGTAATGGCTGTTCTGCAGGAGGCTGTGTGGGCTCTGGGATATGGTGGCAAATACAGATCATTCAGTGGTTTTTCCCCAAGCACACACTGAGAAGTGTGGTCCTTTTAAATGTCCTCTTGGCAGTCACACCTAAACAGGCATGGAATCCTAAGACAGGTATTCAGCAATTTCCATTTAGGAAAACAGTGTGCTTGATCTAGATGGCTTGGCCCTGTGTCTTGAAAAAGACCGTGGGATCGCTGTCATGGAGAAGATCTCATATTTCCTGTGTATTGCTTTGCTTAGATCTGGACTTTACTTTTCAAAATCTGGATGGGGGTGGAAAGTGCACAGCTTCTCTTCTGCCTCATTACTAGAGAGATAATCTCATGACATAAAATCAGTCCCATTCAGCATTTTTTTTAATTTGACAGTGCCTGCTTTTCACCATCTTCTGTCTTTGTCTCCAGTGTCCCCTTCCCTAACTTTCATGCTTCACAGGACTTGTTAGTGATTGAATATATTTTCTTTTGGCCAAGCTTGTTGAGGTATCAGCTTTGCCTTGTGTAAAACCCTTGCACTGTGTGCCTGCTTTATACTGCCTGGAAGGGGAATAATGTTGCTGGTGCCCACCTTATGTCCTGCTTTTTGACTGACATACCTTTTAGCCACTGTAGTTGATTTTCCCCCCCACTCTCCCCTATTTCTCTTCAGCTTCTGGAGCAGAACCTGTACGCGACATCAGGTGTGAGTTCTGTGGTGAATATTTTGAGAACCGGAAAGGGCTTTCCAGTCATGCCAGGTCACATCTGCGCCAGATGGGAGTGACTGAGTGGTATGTGAATGGTTCTCCCATTGATACACTCCGAGAAATCTTGAAACGGCGAGCTCAGCCCAGGACCAGTGCCTCCAGTTCTCCAGGACAGGGTCAGAAATCTCTTGCCCCATCTGTTCTTGGAGGTTCTCTGGAGCCCCGCAGTGCAGGGGAGGGCCACATGTCTGTAATCCCAAAGAAGGTGCAACCTCCAGGGAGCCCTATGGGGCATTCGCCTACCTCTTCACCTCCCCCAACTGCCAGAAAAATATTCTCGGGGCTTCCTTCTCCTTCTCTTCATAAGAGACTGAAGCAAGACCAATTACGAATGGAAATCAAGCGGGAAATGATGTCTGGGGGTCTTCATAATGAATCACATCTGTCTGACAGAGCTTGGTCACCACGAGAGGAGATGTCTCCACTCAATCTCTGTAAGTATTTAAAATGGGAGGTGAACATGTGAAATTTGTCTGATTAGCAAGATGGCATGTTTGAATGCGTGTGAAACTAGGAGTTGGGGGTACAGGGCTTTTTCTTTTTTCTTTTAAAGACAGGGGTGACAACACTGGGTTCCATTCCATTGTTTTTTCTATCCACCTGCCTGTTTGTACTGTCTTTGCACTATGTGCTTGATGTCTTGGCAAGTTAAAATCTGAAATATATGGTAACATTGAGAAGTGTCTGCATTGTTACCAAAATACAGGCATTTAGATGCTCTTAACTCCAAATGCCCTGCCATCCTAGAGCTGGCAGAGTCTTCAGGTTTGTATTACAAAGACTTGGAACCAGGTTAGCTCTAAGGTTTGATGGATAACTTCAAAGAAATCAGCATGTCAGAATAAATGGGATTAAACTTTACATTTTGGGGGTATTGAAGAGTATCACACATGCAACCATGGGCATTTTGAGAAGGATGCATGGCATGCTAGAAATTCTTTGTCTTTATGTAATAAGTATTATTCCTGTACTTTCACCTCTCCCTTGCAGCCTCTCGTGCAGACCCTGTGCGAGATATTAGATGTGAGTTTTGTGGAGAATTTTTTGAGAACCGGAAGGGGCTTTCTAGCCATGCCAGGTCTCACTTGCGCCAGATGGGAGTGACTGAATGGTCAGTCAATGGCTCCCCCATTGACACACTACGGGAAATCATTAAGAAAAAGAACAAGCCATGTGTAATAAAGAAAGAGCCAAGCACACTGAGCATTGAGCTTCCAAAGCCCATAGGAGAAGATGGAGCTGGTCCAAAATCCCCAGGGAAAATGTTGCAGTCCATTGCCTTGTCCCCGCTGGGCGGGAGGACTGGAAAACCAAATGTCGGTCGGGAGGTCTCTCTATCACCACTCAAATCACAGGAGGCATTCTTGGCACCACTCCCCACTAAACGCCCATTATCAGATGAGCGGCTGAGTGGCCACAGTGAAGTGAAACAGAAAACCTACATCCAGACTGAATTGCCGTATAAAGCCAAGCATGTGCATGAAAAGCCCACGCATACATGTAAGTGCTACCTCAGATGGGGGAAGGGGGTATGGCTGGGATCCAGAGAAAGCTTAGTGTTCTATTGCAGGATATTTCCTTGCTTGATGAAGATGTTTCCTGGCTTGCTGGATTTGGGAGTGAAAGGGGAGGGATGCTGTAGTGGTATATTCAAGAATTTGTAGTGATAAGTAGTGCATGCCATCTTTTGATAAGCCTGTTGATGGAAGCCGGTGTCCTGTCGGATGGGCACTTCAGGATTAGATTAGCCAGTAACTCAGGGTAACAAATTTTCTTCCTCCTTCCCTGATATAAGCATGCCTGGCTTTTGGCTGACAGGGAGTACCTTCATTGTTGGGGGGGGATCTGCTTCAGGCAAATCAATAAATGGAATAAACCCTCGTGCCTTCAGCCGTGGGCCAAAACTTCTTAAATGGTCAAAGACATGCAGTTGGATTTACTTGATATGTGGATTGGAGGTAAGAAGAATTGGAAAGCAGTGATTTAGGAATTTCCAACAGAGACTTTAAGCTTTTCAGTCTAACTCCCAGAGTATCTTTTACGGGGAAATAAAAGTAGTGGCTTGGAGCAAATAAGATCTACTGCTCTACTCTGAACTGATGCTGCTTAAGTCCTTTACTGAGACTTTTGCTCAGTTTAGCTCCCTACCATTTCTGCTCCCAGCCAGCGAAGCCTGCTGTGAACTGTGCGGCCTCTACTTTGAGAATCGCAAGGCGCTGGCCAGCCACGCTCGTGCACATCTCAGACAGTTTGGCGTCACTGAATGGTGTGTGAACGGTTCCCCCATCGAGACTTTGAGTGAGTGGATCAAGCATCGCCCCCAGAAAGCTGGAGCCTATCGCAGCTACATCCAAGGTGGGCGGCCTTTCACTAAGAAGTTTCGCAATGCCTCTCATGTGCGTGACACTGATGCCTCTGGAAAGAGGGCTCCTCTTGGCCTGCAGGCAGGCAGCCCTTCACTGGTGAGCAGAAGCCTAGGTGCAGAGATGATGCCCAGCGAGCCCAGCAAAGCTGTGGATGGTGGCGGCGGTGATGAGCGGCCTGCAGTCACATCGCCCCTATCGGTGGTAAAGGTGGAGGAGCAGCAGCAACACAACATCAACAGTGAGTCATTGCTCCCAAAAGGCCAGCACAGGGCCCATCAGAAGTCTTGCTGGACTGCCAGAGAAAGTCTTGGCAGAGGAGGCACTAGCTTTTTTGGCAGGGGGAGGAGTTTGTGGTTTGCTACTATTCCCAAATACAGTGGTGCCTCACTTAACGGAGAAAGTCTTGGCAGAGGAGGCACTAGCTTTTTTGGCAGGGGGAGGAGGTTGTGGTTTGCTTCTGTTCCCAAATACCACACTAGCTCCAGCTGCTTCTCCTGATGTTGAATTACTTCAGGCAGAGGGCATTGGAAAAATTGATAGACTAGTCATCACAGAGACACTAAAGATGGCATATTTGAAAAGCAAGAGTAGCTGCACTGGTCATGACAAATAATTCAGAAATCCATATTGGTGTGATAACTTATTAGCCTAATCAAAAGGTGAGAAGATCTTCAGGATTCTTGTAGCTTTCTCCAGGACAGGCAGTTATTCAGAAAATCCTGCAAGGCCTTTAGTTTTTCTACTTTCATAACTCTCTTCTCTCAGTCTTTATTTATTAAAGCAAAAAAAAAAATCATAAGTGGTGCTTCTTCCTGTATGCTTTACAGAAGAGGCTGTTTGCTGTGTCCCACCATATTTTCTGATACAAATCTTTCTTCTGTTTGTTCAGAGTTCGAACGGAGGCAGGCCAAGCCTGTTGAGGCTGCTGTACCCCGAGAAGAGGAGACCAATGATTTGCAGCAGAAAACAGAAGAGGTCCGCCAGCCACCTCCCAGAGTGAGACCAGTGCCCTCCTTGGTTCCTAGGCCACCCCAGACATCTTTGGTGAAGTTTGTGGGAAACATCTACACACTAAAATGCAGGTTTGTATCATTTTTCCATCTTGACAATCACCTTATGAACTCTGAATAGTTAGTAGTATTTTTGGCTACACTGTGTGGCATTATTTTAAGTGCATTACAGAGGACTGCTGCTTTTGCTGCAAGCCTCACATTGGTAAATGTGAGGCTATGGACAGAGATGCAGGTGGCCCTGTTGGCAGGCTGTCTTGTCTTCTCCCAAGACCTACGGAGTTTAGGACCATAAGTTTCCCTGTAGACCTGAGAGAGGCAGAACCCTTTGAAGACATTCCAGAAGAACCTGGATGGCAGGTCAAGGGCACTCAAACAGATGCTTTGGAGAGGGAAACATGTGGTGACAGCCCCAGCCCCAGGAAGTGGCCATTGTAGGGAAAATGAGAGGCTGGGACTGGGACAATATAAGGAGAGTCCTGGAAGGGAAGGGCCAGTCAGGACTGGAGAGGAAGAAGGAGATTGCAGAGGGTAGCACTGAAGCAGGAGAACAACTCCCTGAAGTGATAGTGGAGGAGGAGGTTGATGAAGGGTCCTGGGAGATGCTCTAGAGGGCCCTTGTGAGGGCTTCTAGGTGGAGGTGGAACTCCCAGAAGAACCTGAGTCACCTAGGGACTGGGAGTACATATACAAAGAAGATGCCTGGACAGTCGTCTTGTTGGGATGAATTCAGGTCCCTTGGGATAAATTAAACTGACACCTTGACCTTCACACACTTCATTTCCCCTCTTACTGAGGACAGTGGGAACATCAGGACAGTAGATGCTAGATTTATAGGTGATTACAGACTTATATCTTGGTAATGCTGGGAAGCTGATGGCTACACAGCAGTGGATGCTTTAGACCCTACTTACGTGTCCAGCTATGAGAAAGTGAAACAAGTGGTTTTGCGTTCCTTGAACCAATCCAAGGAGTCATACCAAAGATGATTTCGGGAGCTCTGCTTGCAACTGAGGTTGTATCCTCAGGCCCTTGCACAAATGAAGGCTAATTCTTTGTGGTGATTGAAGAAAAAGTTCTGCAGAAAAAGTTGTAGAGGTAATTGTTTGGGGTTAGTTAGTTGCTTACATGGAACAATCATTACCTTCCAAGGCTCATGGACTGAGTCCGAGAAGCAATCCAATAATTTGCCACAGCATATACAGGCAACATCATAGCATCCAGTGCTTTTTAGTCTAAACATCTGCAAGCTGTATTAACTGAACTCGGGAAAGCTGGCTTGACCATCAACCCAGGTAAATATAAAATAGTGAACCCCAGGTCCAGTATTTAGGGTTTCAAATGAAAGGGGGATTGGTCAAGCCCGTGGATCAGTGGTTCCCAATATTGTGCCCCCAGATATCCTTGGACTAAAACTCATAGAAGCCTTCGTCAGTAGCTGTGCTGGCCACGATCTCTGGGAGTTGTTGTTCAAGAACACCTGGGGACCCAAGGTTGGGAACCACTGCCATATATTATAAGTAGAGATGGGGATATTTGTATTTGTAAATGAATATGAATATCTCCGTCCCAGCTGGACCTAATGAGAGTCTGGCCCCTGGGACCTGCCTGTCCACTCACGTGTTCCAGTGCCGCTCTTCCTGCCAGTTGTGCCAGGAACTCCACTGTCTCCCTGCTCGATTGGCCACTCCAGGTAGGAGGCGAGAGGACAAGTTTTTTGAATACCAATATTCCCATCTCTAATTATAAGGTGACGAAAATCTCGTTGTGGCCATAACCACAAACTGAAAAGCAGGTACAGTGGTGCCCCGCTTGACGATGATAATGTGTTCCAGGAAAATCTCTGTTAAGTGAAATTGTTGTCAAGCGAAAAAAAACCCATTGGAATGCATTGAAAACCAGTTAATGTGTTCCAATGGGGAAATACCTCATCGTCCAACGAAGATTGCCCATAGAGAACCGCTGATCAGCTGTTTGAAACCGCTGTCTTCCAAAGCAATGGTCTGGAAAGCAGCCATTTTGCGAAGGGAGGGAAGCCATTTTGTGGAGCTGGAAAAATCATTGTTTAGCGAACAAACGATTCACAAAGCAGTGTCCTAATTGACGTAATGCGAATAAAAAACATTGGAACCATCGTTTTGCGATCACAAAAAACTAATTGTCAAGTGATTTCACTGTCTACCGGGGTCATCGTCAAGCGGGGCGCCACTGTACAACAGTTTTTAGGGTTAGCCAGGTACTATAGACAGTTTCTCGCAAATTCCACTGCCATAGCAGCTCCTCTCACTGATCTTACTCATAAGAGAGCCCCTAAATTAGTGTTCTGGAGGAAAATGAGCACCAACTCCTTGATCTTCACCCATCTCCGCATCCCTCTTACTGGGGAGAGCAGGAAGATAAGGAGAGGAGATGCCTTTTTGAGGAAGGTAACGTTAGGAAGCTGACCCCTATATAGTAGAGAGGCTGGAGGAGGTTGCAGCAAAAGGTGCATCAAGCACAGGAGCAAATGCTCCCCTACCCTCAGTGTGGACATATTGTCTATACCTGTTGCAGGCCTCTCACATTGGCTCAGTGGAGACATCCCCGTTAAGGAGCGAAGGACAAGACTCCCTCCTCCCAATGAAGTTAACTGGGTGGGAGGGAGAAGGACTTGCCAATTCTGGGAACCTTGCCAATTACACCTGGGCAGTGCAGCAGATTAGCTCAGCCACCATTGAGGGATGTTTAGTTGTGAACCCCATCCAGTTACAATAAACCCAATTTTGCTTCAGTCTGCTGTCTCAATGCCAGAAAGTCCTGTTGACCCAACCAGAGCCAGCAGAGCTCACAGTAAGATGGGGGTGGTTGGGGGGGAAGTATCGTTTCCATTTTTCCTTTATGTACTTTAAAAGCAACTTTCCCAATCTGGTGCTAGCTCCTATTAACCTTCACCACTGGCCATATCAGCTGCAGTTGATGAGAGCTGTTCCTAAATTATCTGGTGGACATTTGAGAGAAAGCTTACTTAGTGAGTTTGACTTTATTATGGATAATTCTCCAGACTGACTCCAACAGATATTGTTCTCTCTTTGTGCAGGTTTTGTGAAGTGGAGTTCCAAGGGCCCCTCTCCATCCAAGAGGAATGGGTGCGGCATCTCCAGCGCCACATCTTGGAGACTAACTTCTCCAAGGCAGATGGCTTACGAAGTGGAACCGATGTGCCTACAGCACCACCTGTAGCTGAGGCTCAGTAGCAAAGCTCTTAGGAAATACCAGCATTCCAGGGTTTTTCCCCTTACTTTTCTAAATGAACAAGATTAATGGTTGACAAATAGGGGCAAAAGCAGTATTTGACCTCCTGGGTTCCACAGCTTCACTTCAGAGGCCAAGAGTCTGTAGACTGACTTGGATTTTAGTGGGTTTGGAGAAAAATCCCAGAATTTGAGCACTAACTGAACCATGCTGTTTTTGTTGGAGATGCTCCTTATTGATGGCAGTGGTATTCTAGACTGGAGTTTGCTTGTTTGCATTCTGTCTGCACAGAAGGGAGGATGTGGATCAAATAAAACAGGAGTTTCTTTATCCTTCCAGTGAACACAGGTTTCTCCAAAGACCTCCTTTCATTACAGAGAGGAAGCATGCACTTGCTCTGTTGCAGTTCAGATGGTTGGGGATGTGACGATGAGAGTCTTGAAAATGAGGTTCCAGTGAAAGTTGTGAACATGAGTATCTGTTTAAACCCAAGCATAAATGAGTTGGAAGCTGAATGCAGAGCTCTTTTGCTCTGTGGGAAAGCTGTTGGTTCTGTTTGTGATCCTAGAGTTAATGTATGTTTGACTCCTTAGGTAACAAGTCCTTAGTTTCTGTAGACGTTGGGTACTGTTGTGCATGTTCATGTCCCCTAACTTTGTCTACTGGGGTCTCAGTCCCACCGAAGTTAAATGGGAAGCCATGAACTCCTTGACCATAAACATTTCCCTATTTGCTCAACGTCTGATATCAGTTGATTAGCCCTGTCCATTTTCATGTGGGACCCTTTATGTAGGGAATCTAGCTCTGCCTATTAAGGCAATGAGATTGTGGCAGAAGAACAGGAGTCTTTTCTAGCTTTAGAACTGAGCTGAAGAATTGCTAGTGATTTACTAGCCATTCTTTACAGATTTACAAACTCTGCCTGAAAACAGGAGTGACTTGTCTGTTTACCCACCTCTGGATAAGCAAATCCTTTCCAAGAGTACATGATATGCTGGGGGCAGCAGGGTCTCTGGACTTCTTGGTAGTGGGGTTCTAAGTTTCTCCTCTCTAGCAGAACTTGGTGCGGTTCCCAAGTCAGCAACAGTAAGTCGTATTGGAATTTCTGCTCTCCCTGTTCTGTTGGTTACTGTTGCTGTACTCTCTCTCTCTCTTCATAGAACCTCAACTTTTTAAACTCTAGTTTTGTGTAAAAATGGCAAGCGTTCGTTTTTATTTGGAACCCAGGCAGAGCAGAGCCTGGAGGGAAATTACCTTTTAACTTTTTCAACTGGCATATTCTGGTTATTATTGTACCTAGGAATATGTATACTAGATTAAACTTCTGTTCTGGAAACAATATGAGAATCTTGAGTGTGTGCTTTCTGATTCTCTGATTATCTGCAGATGTGAGGGAAGTAGAGAATGTATTTTGGTTTCCACAGCATGGAATCCAAGTACTTTATTAATAGATGTGGATGATATTTTCAGCATAACTCAAGTTTCCTCATCTAGTATACACTGAAAGGGACAGTATCACTTGCTGTTGAAACATGCATGGCCAAATGAGTTTGCTAGTGTGTATTTTAAAACACTTCTTTCCCTTTGTTATTTATTACTTTTCAGTGAGCAGTAAAGTTTGAACCCCAAGCCTATAAAAGTAGTTAAGTGGGATAGCTAGTGAACACTATATATATAAATGTGATCCCATCATTGAAAATGTGCTCCTATCAGAGATGAGCATCTATTTTGCCATACATAATTTTGTTCTCTGTTTCTGATGTTTAAAATAGTCTACCTTTAGATATAGTGTATTTTCTCAGACCAGGCAGATTAACATAATCCCATGATAAAATCAAAGATACCATGCCAGAACTCTTTTTTCCATAGCCACTTAGACCATGCAAAGATGCCCAAGCACAAAGTGGGATAACAATATCAACTTACATTGCAGCATCTTTCTCTTAAACTGAAGCAGGTTTAATATTTTATTTTAGTCTAGGTATCCAACTAAATGTATGTGGAAATCTTGCAGCCCAGAATGTATCATTGGGAAGGGAAATTGTCAACATATGTTGACCTGTTTCTAGTAGATTAACTAGTATGATAATATAGTTCTAAATCTTGCATGCATTAGATATTGCAACATCATTTCCGTCCTTCTGTGCTAAATGCAGTCCTCCCAGGATGGCTGGAAGAAGTGTCAGGATCAAGTGTATGAGACTTGAATGAGGTCCTCAGAACACTAGAGGATAACACCCCTGTGTAGTCTGACTCTGTGGTGGTCTGTCACAGCTGGCATTTATCCCTGGAAGTGTTAACGCCAGTGTGAAATCAGAAAACCAATTTAGTATTCTTGATAGAAGGGCAGGATATGCAGACGTTTCTCCTGCTGCTTTAAAGTAAAGTTCATCATCAGCACCACAACTTTCTTGTCTGCTTTATGCTATATTGCTGGAAGAAGATATGGGATAGAAGATAAAATTGTGTCCTGTATAGTCTGCACAAAATGTGTTACTGTCAGTAGTTTCTAAAGGAAAGAAATGTGATGGCAAGCACTAAGACTACAACTCCCAGAAATTTGGCCAGCATACTAGTAGTGATGGCTTCTAGGAGTTTTAGTTCAATAACCATCAGGGACCCAAGGCTGGGAACCACTGCTCTAAGGCAGTGGTTCTTAACCTTTGTTACTTGGATGTTTTTGAACTGCAACTCCCAGAAACCCCAGCCAGCACAGTTGGTGGTGAAGGCTTCTGGGAGTTGCAGTCCAAAACTCCTGAGTAACCCAAGGTTAAGAACCAGTGCTCTAAGGTATTCTCTCTTTTATTACATATAAGAAGAATGTCTCTTCTAAGATGTTTGCTGTCATCTGTGCGCTTATGATTTTAAAACACAGGATTACTTTATACATATTTAATTGGTTAATTAACTAAAATATCTATAGCTGATTCAAATGTTCTTTACCTGGATTGCAGCCCTGTTTAAAATGTTTTTCAGCTTTGTGACCTTTTGGAATCCTTACCTCCTACATCTTCATAGGTATTAAAATCAGAGGGACCCTTCTTATCAATGCTCCTGACTAGAGGTGGACACGAATCAGAAAAATGGTGATTTATTTTGATTCGTGCTTTGTCAAGGTTGACGGATCACAAATTATGAATTTAGGATTTTTTCCCTAGCAATTGATTTGTCAGTTTGTTTTTTACTTTAAAACCATATCAAAATGGCCCCCAAGCACTTAGAGACACCAAATTTGCAGGGAGTCTTTTCCTAACTCTCCTCTACAAGCCCTACAAGTTTGGTGAGGTTTGGGTGTTGGGCATCTGAGTTGTACACCCATAAGGAGCCCCCCTGGAATCTTCCCCCCAAGTACCTAGAGAAACCAAAATCACAGAGAAGCTTATATTGACTCCCCTCTAAAATCCCTCCAAGTTTGGTAAAGATGGGGTTTCATACATCAAGGTTAGATACCCACAAACTGGGTCTCCCCAAGAAAGTGCCCTTTAGCAGCTGACTTGGGGAAACCCAACCTTCAGCAAACTTGGAGGGATTGTAGAGGAGAATCATGGAAAGCTGCTCTGTTATTTTGGTGTTGCCGGGTGCCTGGAGGGAAACTTTCCTGGGGAGACCTGTTTGCAGGTGTATAACGTTGATGTCTAAAACCCAATCTTCACCAAGCTTGGATGGCTTGTAGAGGAGAATCATGGAAAGCTCCCCTGCGATTTTGATGTGTCTAGGTTCCTTAGGGGCCATTTTAAAGCCAAATGAATCAAATAAAAAAATTGCTAAAGTTCATTGATTTGTATTTGTCAGGGGGTATTGATTCATATGAATACAAATGAACAAATTAGCAATTTTGATGAATTTGGGGATTTTTAAAAAATTAATGCCCATCTCTACTTACATTTTAATTTCAACATTGAACTAGTTTTTTTACTAGTACTCTCCTTACTAGTATAGCCTGTTGCTACAGTTGATTACTCTCCTTACAGGCTTTACTCTCAACCTATTAACAAATTATTTCCTGATAAATAAAACTCTTAAGTATCTTAAAAGGGCAAAGCCTCGGATCATTATATGGCTTAGACTTTACAGAGCAGGACATTGAGAAATACAGATTGTTTTGTTAGACTGCTCCAGATCACTTAGCTTTTCTGAAGAGACTTTGGGAGATGAGTTGAATGATAGTATTATGTGTTGGGAGTATTAGAATTCTTTTATCCTTCATTAATATCAGGGTCAGACTATTTTTCTAGGCCTCAAATAATACATCTGTTTCCGTTGCAGAAGATGATGTTGGGCAAGAGATTATATTTTATTTTTTAACACTGTGATAATGTGTCTTTTGTGATTCCTCATCATCTGAAATGAAGCAAAAATTAGACTGTCAGGCAGGATGGAGATTGAGTAATTCTACCATCACAAGGAACTGTACATTTTCTCTAAGGCTAGAAACTAGAGAACACCCACACAGAATACAGTATTGGGATATAACAATAGTCTTCACCAAGGCCTCAAACCTGCTCTAATGCCAAAGGGCCCATGTAGCTGAGATGCTGAATTATTGCTAGAACATGTCCTGAAGAAAAGGATTCCATGTGTGGAAAATTCCTGTATGTAGAAAGAACTCAAGACCTCCTGTTTTCTCTCAGTGCATCCACAGGAGAAAATTCCCTGGTGTAGTATTTATTCCAAGTTACAGCCAGAGAGTCACCTGCACACTATTGTTTATGTTTCTGTAATATTCTGCTGTGATTCATTAAAGAAAGGGAAACTGAACATAAACCATGAGACCATAAAATATTGCTTGAGCTTTTGTTCCAGATTTCTGGAGCCAAACTAGGCCCTCATATCATTTGTGGTCATTTTGATAATCTGTAGGAGAAAAAAGAAACCAAATACATGTTAAAATTAATAGACACACATGATTTTGCCATTTTTTGGATTGATCCTATTGTTTTCAAAGCTTCAGGAACCGTTTTAATTTATTTATTTATTTATTTATTTATTCAACCACTCTAGGCGGCTTACAACATAAAGGATAAGTTCAAGAAAAATTTATAACAATTAATTAATTAAATGATTCTGCAAGATGGAAAAAATACAAAATAAATCAAATAAAGAGAAAAAGAATAAAAAAGGAAAGAGGACAGGAATTAACTGGAAGGGAAGGCCTGCCTATACATCCACGTTTTTAGTTGGTTCTTAAAAGTACCCAGCGAGGGTGCAGCGCGAATCTCCGGAGGTAGGTTATTCCAGAGACGAGGAGCCACCGCCGAGAAGGCCCGGTTTCTAGTTCTTTCATTCTGGGCCTCCCTCGGCGTCAGGCTCCTCAGCCTCACCTCCTGGCTCGCACGGGTGACACGGGTAGAACCGGGTGGGAGTAAGCGTTCCGCCAAGTATCGAGGTCCTAAACCGTTTAGGGCTTTATATGTAAGCATGAACACTTTGAAGTCAATGTGGAAACGGATGGGCAGCCAGTGCAGCATGACCAGAGTAGGAGAGATATGTTGGTATTTTCTCACTCCAGTAAGGAGTCTGGAGTACTGTTTTATTCAGTACAGGATAATCTAATAAGTGACATGTTGTAGGCAATATTTTGCGTACTTCAGTGTGAATCTACCTTGAAGCTGAAGTGAATCTATCAAGTATTAGCAAAACTGAAATGTCCAGATGTTGTTACATTGTTTACTGTCGTTGGCTAGAATCCCATTTGTTTGTGCAGTTGTGGCTAATTGGCAAAGTGCCAGAATGCATCTTCATTACATGCTTAGTCACACATCTATTTGCACAACCAAGGTGCAGCCTGCCTCCTTGTCAATTAGCTGCAGTTAGCAACAGTAAGTTGCACAAACCTCACGGAAACACCAATAGGATTCTAGCCAACTATTAATGTGTTAGAACTGGAGCCCTTGATGCTTTTTAACTCAGTTTTCCAAAAATTAAAGGACCCCTAGAGCATATGTCCATGAATACGTTTTGCTTGTTTTCCTGATAGTTATGACTCAGAATAACCTTTTGTTGCAACAGTGCTATTTTTATGTTTATATAGTACCACATCACTCTTCAAAGTGATGTTATTGTTTCAAACCAGCAACACATTAACACATGATTTTGATAATACAGCTATTTTGTATCACTGCATCTCAGTATTCCCACTTTGAAGCTGTTGAGCTGTGATGGGAAAGACTGCATCAGCCAGTATTGACTACCAGTAAGAGAAAATAACTAGAGTCTGAGGAACTTGTGCCCCCTTGCTTTTAGTTTAAATAATGTTCAGCATGGCTTAGCTGAGATCCTCAACTGGATGGTTTTAGTTGAGAACACTGCATTGCAGCACCTTATTCTGCACAGTTTTTATT